TCGTCTGTGCAAATTAGGTCAACTGAAGGAAGTGGTCAATGTACAGAGGTGGTCAACTACAGAGGTTCTACTGTGTATTCAGTGAGCCATTTTTATAACCTCTTCTCACCTGGAAATATTTTGGTGGAGCTTATCTTACTTTAAAGGATGTTTTCACCATTGTGAGTCCTAGTAACCTTAGAAGTTGTCTGGACCAGGCTTGTTATAAACAAACGTATACCACAAGAAAAAACAACAATATCAGAGATGCAAGGATATCTGGAGAGATTTTTCTGAACATAGAGACCTCTCAGAGTCAAGGGAGGGTGGACGCAGAGAGGCAGATGTGAGTCCCTCTTTTTTAGGTAGAAACAATAGGGAAGGTGTGGATGCAGAAGTCAGGCTGAGAAAGGAGCTGGCATCGCCACTAAACCCTCACCACGTGGAGGGGAAGGAAAGGATCAGGTGTCTGGGGCCAAAATAGATTCATCAGACTCAGTGAGAGGTAAGGAAATGACACGGGGCTTCATCTCAGCAGTTTGTAATCTGTCTTTCTCTTTTCTTCTTCATCAGGCCCAGGTGAGGTTCAAACTCACAGCCTCCCGTTTGCAGGGCGGGCACTCTAACTACTGAGCTGCAGCACCCTGCTAGCAGTTTATGATCTAAAGAAGGAGACTTTAAGGGTTCTAACCATTCAAAGACTGGGTAACATGGGGAAAGAAAACAAATACACATACATCATCAAGAAAAGTGACATCATCATTTTAAAAGGTATAGTGGAGCCAATAGAAATTGTGGTGTGAAGTAGGAAAGTAGATGGGCAGGAAATTGTTAAATCTTGCATGGAGGAAGTAACCATAAGTGTGTGATTCAAAACCAAAGGCATTGCTAAACAGTATTTTAGTTGTGCTCATGAGAGGTAACATGATGCTAAAGAGAATTCTGCTCTTTAAATCAGGATGTGTTTGGTCATGAGGGTTGAGGTTTAGCACAATTGCTCTGTAAAACAGAAGAGAGTTCTTAAATATTGGGAAGGGGAAAGAGGGATTGGTAGAGAGAAGAAAGAGGGGGCAGCAGGGTGAAACACTGTATGGGTGGAAGGGGCCAGATCTGAGAGCCCCAAGGGGCAGAATAGCCTAAAAGAGATTGGGAGAGAAAAAAACAAAGTTTTCAAGTGTTTGCCAAGGGTATCCTCTTACTATTCTTTGCCTCATTGGGCTTCTAATGAGGACCAGTCCCATGCAGGAAACTGACAATGACCTTCTCAGTCTTAACCTAGAATCCTTTATATGTCCTGTAATTAAAATACCATAAAAGGTACAATGAGTTTATGCTGAAACCTTTCAAGCCTTTTCAAAGGGAGGAAATCCTTAACGTCCAGACCTTGGCTCAAACCATCTTTTCACCTGCTCCTTAACTCCTCTAAATTATGTACAGCTATTGGGTGGGGTAAATTACTCCAGCACAGTAAAGCCAGAAATTTCCCTTTCTGCCTCCAGAAGTTTTAGAATTGGAAGCTTGGGAGTGTTCAGGCCCTGAGATCAGTGGGAGGAAGAAATCCTCCTCTTGGATCTCTTGGTGAGGAATAAATGTTACTGCTCCTAAGGGCCAGCCTTCTTTTCCCCGAGAAGTATGGAGAGTGTGCCATGTTCCCCACCTTCCCCTAATGAACATGGAAGTTCCCCTTTCCCTTTTCTCTATCCTTTTTGGAGCAGTATAGAGGATAGACTAGGTAGCTCTGAAAGGATCCAGGGATAAAAATCCTTTCCTACAAACAGAGATTTACTTTTATTTTTAAAAAGTTACTGACTCCAGAGTATCTGGCAGGTGAACTTCATTGAGTGGAACATGTATGGATGGGTTTTGCTCTTATAGATATGGGGTTGGCTAGAGCAAGGTCCAGGAATGGGTGGGTCCTATTGCAAAATCTATTATGCATAGTGAGTTACTGTGTCTGGAAAGCACAATTTCAGTTTGACTAGAAGGTCTCCTTGATTGTGAGGGCATTTAGAAGAAAAGGGAAGACCCTGTCCCTGGGAATCTCTTTAAGATGCCTGGCTTGAGGGCATCATTCTAAGATCACAGACCACCTGGCAATCACTTGTAGCAATTGGTCATCAGGTAGCAGCTACTGAGGATTTGGGGAAAAAAGAAGACAGTAAGAAAAATGTAACAGGAAAGGAAGTGGGTAAGAAAGAAAAAAAATGAAGAGGGAAAAGAATGACTCCATCATCCCTACTCAAGATCCCATCCTGGTCATCTGCCACCTTCCATTCCTGTACTTAGCCCTTACCACCTAGTGGCTAGTAAGGGCTGTGGAGAGAACAGTGATACTGTTTCAGTATAAGAGTACAAAGGATGGTCTCTGATCACACAGATCGTATCTGCAGGGATATCATAAGACACTCTATCATCTTCCTTGGGAGAGGTGATCTTTGGCCCTAGCCATGCTACATCTTACACTAAGATTACAGTGATTTAGGGGTATATTAGTCATCTATCATAATGGATACCTCAAAATTTAGTGACTTAAAAAATGTCTACATATTATCTCACAGTTTTGGTGGGTCAGGAATCCAGGTAAGGCCTAGCTGGGTTCTCTGCATCAGGGTCTTTCACAGGACTGCAAGCAAGGTGTCAGCTGGGGCTGAGGTCTCTTCTGAAGTCTCAACTGGGGAAAGATGAACTTCCAGGCTCACTTATGTAACTGTTGGCACGATTCAATTCCTCAAGGCTTGTTGAACTGAAGCCACCAGTTCCTTGCTGGCTGTTGGCTGGAATTATCTAGAGATGTTCCTCAGTTCCTCATCATGTGCGCCTTCCCAGTGTGGCAGCTTGCTTCATCAAAGCCAGGAAAGGACAGAGTCTGTAAGCAAAACAAAAGTTACTATCTTTTTAAATTTAAAATGGAAATATGTATTGTCATCTTTCCCTTAGTCTCCTGGTTGGAAGAAAATCACTAAGTCCAGCCTACATTTAAGGGGAGGGGTGATACACAAGTGTGTGAATACCAAGAGGCAGCGTCATTGGAGGTTTCTTAGAAGCTGTCCTAACACAAAGGCCTCTTCTTGGACACCCCACTCAGTTCATCGAAGGTAAAGTGGCCAAAGGTACCAAATGGACCCTCATTCTCATCCATATCCATGGTTAAGGTCAAACCTGTTTAATGGCTCAGTGGAGTGATGATTAATAAGAAAAATATCAGAGTGGCTGGGCTTGGTGGCTAATGCCTGTAATCCTAGCACTTGGGAGGCCAAGGCAGGTAGATTGCCTGAGCTCATGGGTTCAAGACCAGCCTGAGCCAGAGTGAGATCCCATCTCTAAAAATAGCTGGATGTTGTGGCAGGTGCCTGTAGTCTTAGCTACTCAGGAGAGGCTGGGACAAGGCAAGAGAATTGCTTGAGCCCAAGACTTTGAGGTTGCTGTGAGCTATGATGCCACAGCACTCTACTGAGGGTGACAAAGTGAGACTCTGTCTCAAAAAAATAAATAAATAAATATCGGCTCAGTGCCTATAGCTCAAGAGGCTAGGGTGCCAGCCACACACACCAGAGCTGGCAGGTTCAAATCCAGCCCAAGCCTGCCAAATCGCTTAAGCCCAAGAGTTTGAGGTTGCTGTGAGCTGTGATGCCATGGCACTCTACCCAGGGCAACAGCTTGAGACTCTGTTTCAAAAACAAAACAAAACATATATATATATATATACACACACACACATATATCAGAAGTTGGAGGTTGAAGCATCCAAAGAAAAGGAGAAAGCTGGTGTGAAGGTAAAGGTAGGGTGGGATCACCATGATGGTAAAGGGCAAGGATCTCTGAGAATCCCCTGACATACCACTGCCAATGTTCATTCTAGACTTAGAGGGGAGGAGAAACTAGTTGCAATACCGTGCCTCCACCATAGTCTCCACTCTGACATAGTTCCCAGACCATAGGACAAAAGAAGCAACCTTCCACTTCTATGGGGACAGCCAGGCTTATAGAGGGAGCGTATTTTACAGGCTATAAGATTTAATTTCTACTTTTATTAATATATTTAAAAGGCATACACACCCTTTTAAATCTGATTCTCATAGGTTGAACATCATAGATTTCGACACCCAGTTGGTAGAAAAATCAAGACTAGGGAGCTCAGAGTATTTAACTCTCGGCTGTTTTCCATACAGCCATTGTCTAAAGACTTCTAACAAAGGGAAACGTGATGCCCTAAAGAGGCTGAGTTGGCCTGAGGTCACAGAACATGTCAAACCTGGTGCCCAGATACTTGCTTCTTTCCACTCAGAGAAACATCGGATAAGGCAGTAAGACAGAATTTGCACTCACAGAACATCTAGGTAGTGACCCACCCAAAATAGGGTAGCACCAACAGTAATACCACTTAATTATTATACAAGTTTACCAACGCATCACTGTAAGAGAGGAGGCTGACAATGACAAGGGAGGGCAATTTTCTTCTACGGGGATTCTTGCTCTACCTGCTTACTCAGGCAGGATAATCTACCAAGCTATTGATTGGTGCTTCTGATCCCTGCCAATGGGGACTCCAAAAGGAATAAAAGTTAACTTGCCAGTTTTGTCTTCCAGGAAGTTCTGAGCTCTTGGTCTTGGGGGTAATTAGTGGCTTTTATGTTCCCTGACCCAAAATGGAAGCTTTGAGGCACCAATTGTACAGTCATACCCAGATTGTCATGTGGCAGGGAGATTTAGCAGGTGCTCCTGGGAGGGAGGAGCTAGAGGTTGATGCAGGTGCTGTATTGGAGGAAGAGTTGCTAATGGTAGCAGTCATTGGAGTCAATGACTTGAAAATAAGGATGTAAGAGCGGATGGGTCTCTGTGGAAGTCCTCAGGAGACAGCAGGATTTCTTAAGGAACAAAATGATGTTTGCTGAGATGACTATCAAGCCCCATTATCTTGGGATCCGCAGCAAAACACTGCATTGCACAACCTTGGCATATCTATTTGGCAGTGACTACCAAACTAAATAGGGAAAAGGTCAGTAATGACTACTGTTAGTCCTATACCTACCCTTTAAAATGGGTGCTTTGAGCCCACTAGCTTGGAAGAGAAGAGACCAAGAAGGGAGAGTCTTTTTCTATTGCAAGGTGGGATTTGGATGTAACTGGAAGCAAATACAACAGATTTTCAACAACAAAAAGAATCTGGTGACTCAGGTGCCCGAAAAGGTCAGGGAGCAAGACTGTCCTCAGGCAGTAGGATTCACAGTGCGGCTTAAGTAATGCCATTTCTTTTTCTATTCATTTCTTGGCTCTCCGGGCTGGGTTCCCTGTAAGACAGTGTGTCTGGCAAGCTCATAGTTACAGTCTCTAAACTTCAAGTGCCTGAAAGAGAAAGAGGTGGGAGTGGGCCCTGGGAAGGGAGCTTGAGGTGGGAGAAATCAGCTGGAGGCTCCAACATCCAGTGACACCATCCACCAGCCTGGCTTCCCACTGCTTACCCCTTCTCATCTTAGATCCCTGTATCTTCATTTCAGTTCAGTTACTGTCACACTCCAGAACTTATCACCAGAAACACCCTGCCATCTGAGAAATACAGTCTGACATTTTACCCTTTATCCTTCTCATTTTCACCCTCAGTACACCAATTCTTCATCCTACTCAGGAAGGACCAGCCACTTTAAACTCTCTCCCTGTCCATCCAAAAACTTTTTGCCTTAATTTTCCCCCTCTCCAAGGAAAATTCCATGGTCCACACTAACCACGGACCTGTATAGCTCCATTCTTAGTCTCCTTTCATCTTTCTTGCCTGCAAAAATCCAACTCTTGGCCGGCGCCTGTGGAGTAGGGCGCCGGCCCCATATGCCAGAGGTGGTGGGTTCAAACCCAGCCCCAGCCAAAGACTGCAAACAAACAAACAAACAAACAACCCCCCCCCCCAAAATCCAACTCTCTACCTCTTCTAGACCTGCCTTTTAAAAAGAGGCTGATTTCCTTTTGCGCAAAATGGCACAATTAAGGGCATTGGTGCCAGTTAATTCATCATCTGTGACTTCTGTCCAGTTCCCACACCTCCTAAAAATGATGCACTCATTCCTCCGATGATGACTTGGCACTAGGCTGTCTCCTCAGCACTGGGACACACGGGGAGGAAAGAAAGCTCAGTCCGGGCCGTGTTCAGGACCGTCGTCTTAGTTACGTCTCTCGCTGAGCTACTCTAAACTCCTATTTCACTCCCCTGAACTTCTCCATCCTCCTCATCCACAAAGGAGAAGTCAACATACGGAAACTTTTCATCATAAACCTTGTGAGTACCCAACGCTGTGCGCCCGCTCCCCGCCTTGCCGTTTGCTCCCCCTGCGCCGAGTCCCGCAGACGCCCCTTCTCCCTCCCCGCCGTCCGGTCCTCGCTCGAGGACTCACAGCGCCTCCCCAGCGTGGTCGTATCGGGCGTCACACTCTGCCTGGCGCTCTCGGGCCATGTGTCCCCATAGCTCAGCGCCCGGCACTTGGTAACCTGCACCTGGACGGGCGGAGCCGTGACTGTGGGAGGAAGGGCCGGGGACGCTCGGGAGGAGCTCGGCCGGGCGACCGGGGCGGCACCGGCGGCGGGGCGGCCGTTGGGCTTTATAACGGCGGCAGTGGCGGCTGCAAGTCTCACCTCAGGCGTCGGGTTCTGTCCCCGTGGCTTCCGGATGACGAGTGGAGACCGGCTTCAAAGACGTGGTGGTGGCGAAGGCCGCGAGTGACCGGCCGCTCCCGCGCTGGGGGCGCCTGCCCTTTGCTCGTCATTTCCCGCCGGTAGGCGGCGCCCGCGGCCTCGCAGCCCCGCAGCCTCCGGCCTCGCGCCGGGCGCGGCCTCCGCCCCGCTGCCGCCTCGGACCGCGCGGGGTGCGCCCGCCGCGGGCGCTGTGCGCAGGCGGTGACGAGAGTCACCAGAGCGACAGCGCCGACCGCTGTTGGGCAGACCCATTTGTTTTTTTTTGGAGACAAGAGCCTCACTTTGTCGCCCTCAGTAGGGTGCCGCGTCACAGCTCACAGCAACCTCCAACTCCTGGGCTTAGGTGATTCTTTTGTCTCAGCCTCCCAAGTGGCTGGGACTACCGGCGCCCGCCACAACACCCGACTATTTTTTGTTGCAGTTTGGCCGGAGCCGGTTTGAATCCGCCACCCTCGGTATATGGGGCCGGCACCCTACTCACTGAGCCACAGGTGCCTTTGCCTTCTCTCTCCGTTGCAGATCTAGTTCCTCCCAACAGAAGTCTTGGTTCACATTTCATGAACTAAGCAGGAGAGAAAAAACATCAGTTAATAAGATACAGTTGCGGCTTTATTGCTGCAGTGAAATGGCGTCACTGGAGTTGCTGCTGCTGACAGTGGGCTGACTGTCCAGTCCTCCTGCTAAAACTTACACATTAGAGCTTTGCTGCTATAGGTGATTCTCCAAAGATATCAAGTGGCTTTTTAATGTGGCTGCCAGCATCAGGGCGCTCAGGCTGGATTAGAGCCTTATTTCCCAGAGACATCAAGGGCTTAGCAAACTGGCCCTCAGTCCAAATCCAGTCCACTGCCTGTGTTTATAAATAAAGTTTTATCGGAACACAGTCATGCCTGTGCTTTTGTGTAGTCTCTGGCTGCTTCCACAGTGTAGTATCAGAGTTGAGCAGCTCCCACAGAGACTATATGGCCCACAGAGTCCAAAACTCCCTGGCCCTGGCTTGGTGCCTGTAGCTCAGTGAATAGAGTGCCACCCACATACATCAAGGCTGGCAGGTTCGATTCTGGCCTGGGCCTGCTAAGCAACAATGACAACTGCAACCAAAAAATAGCCGGGCATTGTGGTGGACACCTGTAGTCCCAGCTACTTGGGAGGCTGAGGCAAGAGAATCGCTTAAGCCCAGGAGTTTGAGGTTGCTGTGAGCTGTGATGCCACAGCACTCTACCAAGGGTGACATAGTGAGGCTAATCAATAAGAAAAGAACAAATAACCCCATTTCTATGTGGGCAAGAGACTTGAACAGAAACTTCTTTGATGAAGACAGGCACATGGCCTACAAACATAAGAAAAAGTGCTCATCATCCTTAATTATCAGAGAAATGCAAATCAAAACCACTGTGAGATATCATCTAACTCCAGTAAGAGTAGCCCACATCACAAAATCCCCAAACTACAGATGTTGGCATGGATGCAGAGAGAAGGGAACACTTCTATACTGTTGGTGGGAATGCAAGCTAATATGACCTTTTTGGAAAGAAGTTTGGAGAACACTCGAAGAACTAAAAGTAGACCTACTGTTTGATACTGCAATTTCTCTCCTGGGTATATACCCAGATGATCAAAAATTATTTTAGAACAAAGACATTTGCACCAGAATGTTTATTGCAGCCCAATTCATAATTGCCAAGACATGGAAACAGCCCAAGGGCCCATCAACCCATGAATGGATTAACAAATTGTGGTATATGTACACTATGGAATACTATGCAGCCATAAAAAGATGGAGACCTCACATCTTTTATGTTTACCTGGATGGAGCTGGAACACATTCTTCTTAGTAAAGTACCTCAAGAATGGGGGGGGGGAAGTATCCAATGTACTAAATACTACTATGAAATCAATATATAATCACCTACCCTACACATTCATATGAATGACAAAACATAACTATAGGCCAGAATGTAGAAGGGAAGAGGAGAGAGAGGGGAGGGGAGGGGAGATATGGGAGGAGGGAGGGCATATGGGGGGGACCTCACCTAATGTGCATGATGCAATGATATATTTCAAAACTATTAAGAAATGAAAAAAAAAAGAAGAAGAAAGAAAACAACTCCCTTGCTCTGACAGAGGTGTTTGCTGACTCCTGGTCTAGGATTTGCCTCCCTGAGTGCCCTTTGGGGATCTCCACATCAGTACTTTACAGAAGTAATAGGTCTGCTCTGTGTGGTGTTGGTCGAAGCATGGTGCTTCCTCTCAGGCCCAGTTTTTACCAGTATTCTATATGGCATGCGTCATCTTCTTAGGGTACCTCTGTACCCAGTGCAAAGCCACATACCATATAGAATCCCCTGCCCTGTGTGACCTGCTGGGCCTGGTGTGCCACTGTCAAGCCCTGCCCAGCCATATCTGGGTTCAGGGCCCAGTTATTCTGTAAAATAATATTTATATGAATTTTTATGAGGCAAAAATGTCCTAAAAGTTACTTCATAATAGAACTAGTGAGGACATCTTTCAAGATCTTGCCTGCTGCCTTCTGCTAAATAAGGGCAGTATGGGTAGGGCTACTCCAATGTGTGACCGCTGGGCTCCCCAGGTGTTCTTCTCCTAAACATGGGATCCTCTACCCTCCACCCTCCCCCATGACACCTAGTCCCTTTGTCCTATCTGGCCCCCTGCTCAGGTTTCCCTCCCTGTACCTCCTGCTTCCCCCTTCCCACTCACCTGGTCCTGGCTTCTCTCCCCAAAGACATGGTGAAGGGTGACTGGGTCAGTCTCAGCCAAATCTGACAGCTCCTGGCAGAGGGGGAAGGGTATGCCAGGGAGATGTGAGTCCCTCCATGGTAATGTTTTGCTCCAGAGTATGCCCCAACTGGGAAGTGTCTTGCCACTGGGATGCACTGTCACTCCAGCACATAGCTGTGGCTCTGCCTTCAGTGTGCACGTCCCTGTTCCTCTCTGTGTCCCTGCTTCTGAGGAGCCCTTACCTCCTTGTCAGTGACCAGCAATGGTAGGAAGAAGACTCAGTGGCGAGTTCTGGCTTTGCTGTGTGGCCTTGGGCAAGTGCTTTGGCCTCTCTGAGCTGTAGTTTCCTCCTCTGAGAAGGAGGAGGATGATATACTAACCTCAGGGGATTCTTAGAGGTGTCAGTGAGGGCTGTGAGAGCAAGCACAGCAAAAGCTAGAAGCCTCCAGACAGATGGGACCCACTGCTGCAGACAGGATGTGCATCTGTCTCAACCCCTCCAGCCACTCCTACCTTCTCCCTCCATTTCTCCAGCTGGCCCAGGACCCTGGCAAAGAGATTGCCAGTGGCTTCTGCCAGCACTGTCAAGCATGGTATTCCCAGGAGTGAACCA